TCAAGGCTCTCTTTTCCACTTCCTCCATGTACAGGTTTGCAACAACAGGAGAAACTGGGGATCCCATGGCTCTTGGAGGAGAGACGAAACATTTCATTAGAGAAGAACCCGTCCAGAGGACCTATACAATTTTTTTCTTTTTGATTTTTTACCTGGATTACTGAGATGCATCAGGACATTCTTTTCCCTACTTTCACTCCAAACTTTGGTATGATGAATGCTACCCCGACTCGATCTACTGTATCCTTTGATGCATCTGTATAWATTTTTACGTATCCATAATATTGGTTTTATATTCTATACAAGTATCTGTGTTTATATCCTTTTTATTTCCTTTTTCCCCCTAATAATTTTAAATCTACATTTGGTTCTGTGAATAACCATGGATGTATGATTGGTATTGGTACTGTTGGACTGATACTCATGTTGTTGATTTGAGTTTCTGTTGTTTTCTGATTTTATGATCCAACCAAAACTTTTTGTTWATTTTTTCCCCTTTTCCCAGCATGGTTGTAATATTTCATGAATTAACTAACAGAAAACAAATCACCTCAGGCTCCTCTGATTTTAGCCTGCAGCTGAAGTCCAGCAGTATGCAAAGCATGCCAATAAAAGTGACCGCTGTCACCACATTGTTATCTTCCAGTCAGTTTATGGTCATCTACAGTTTCCTGTCAGCCTCCGACCTGAGTGAACTCCGACCTGGTTCTTCCTGTTCCGTAAACCCAGTATTTACTGGTTTGTTCTGGCACGAACATCTTCCGTCTCTGAGTCACGCACCTGAGGATCGTTTCAGAAGRGCCCGCCCCCTTCTCCGCCTCTTGACCAATCAGAGTGAGGGTCAGCAGCTGTTCATTCTCCCAGACCGGTTCCTGCTTTGCTTTGCTTTACCTTTATATAAAAAGAGGTGAACACCGCGCTGAACAAGAAGAAGAGAGAGAAAATAACTCCAGTAGTTTCAGACAATCTTTGAGCTGTCGCGCTCCTGAGGAATGGCAATGCGAAAGGGCCGGAAGAAGAGCCAGCTGCCCGAGTGTTACTATGAGGGTTACCTGGAGAAAATGTCCTTCAGGGATCAGGTAGAGCATTATCCTGATTTATGTCACTGATGCGCCTGTTTAATCTGTATTTTAAAGTCGACTTTAACCTTTGAAATCCAAATTGGTTTTAGAGCTATTCCTTAAGATATGTCAAGTTAAGGAGAAGTTGGTCTATTTAAACCAAATTTATTATATACTGTGTCTATAACCTGATTTCAAAAGGCATAATCTCTACTAAAAAAAACTGGAAAAGCTAAACATGTTTAGGAGCTGTACTCTTTCCGGTAACATGGATTGTGACCTGAGTTTCACTGCATCAGTACACTGGGAGTAGAGACTCAAACTGGTMATTCAGGCTTTGGCAACAATAAACCTTGAGGGGAATTCTGCAGGGCCCTCACTGATAAAGGTTTTACACAGTGATGTGTAAACAGAACTGGCCCTGTGGCTTAGGCAGTGAAGGCAAATGCTAAGGGCGCCGTCCATCTAAGGGACACCACAAATGGGGGGAATTTGTTTATTTAAATTCTTTTACTTTGTCAGAGTGTAGTTTATTTAGTCTGTAGAATAATCCCTGGTTACTCATGTTTATGAAGGTAATTTAATCCTAGGGTTTCTCAGTCTGCTTTATTACTACAAGAGGTTATATGGTTCACAGGATAATTGATGATAAAACTATCACACGATGAAGTCAGACTTACTGGTGCTCAGTGTGGAAATAAAAAACAAAATCAGGACAATGGAAGTCTCAGTTATGACTTCAGATAAAGTTCAGGTKAAAGTCTGGTTCTCAGTGAAGTTACCATCATAAAATACTGATTTTATGTTGTTTTATTAATCCCAGGAATTTATTAAAATGCTTTGTAAATGGCTGGAAAATGCAAGTAGATCCTTTTACTATATTTTCTGGGGGAAGTCTTCCCCTGGACCTCCCTAGAACTGCTTCAGTCCACAGCTGCTCCTTAACATGAACAGGTGTTTCTCATTGCTGATGTTGGCAGGGATAAGATAAGACTTGTGGTGTTCTTTTTCAAATTAATTGTATTGTAACTATTTTAATTTGGACAAGCTAAAGATATAAAATAAGATCCAGGACAAAACTATTTAATTTGGTATGTGAATGGATATAAATTGGCGGCGAGCTTTAGAAGATTGCGTCGAAAATCTTGCCTGGGGCGACAAATTGTCTCAGGCCGGTCCAACACGACTTTCTGAGACGTTAACATCTCCGTGGCCTAATGTCAGATTGTGTTAGCACTGGTGTCGCTTACAAGACATGGTGACATAACCTGATGTGTACAAAAAAATTAAAAATCTGTATCACAAGATCTTGGAGGTAACATTATCTTGTGACGTGATTGTTTAGTTTGGATTAGGTCTAACTAAAGGTTCTAAATTTAGCACACATTCCTGTCATAGTTCCAGTCACTGTTACCTGGAACTGTCCTTCTTTACTACCTCATCTTTTCCCATTTGGAAACAGTTTAGTTTGTTTACCCTGTTTCTTGTGCTACTTTTTTTTCAGACCTCTCAGAAACTGTGGACCTGCCTTTGTGGAAACACTCTGTTTTTCTTCAGTGACAAAAGAGACTCTGATGTGAGTATTTTTCCAAGTTAGGCGTCAGTAGGCCCCACAACTGATTTTAATATGAAATTATACACAATTATAATTGTGTGTTTGTTTTTCCCTCAGTATTTAGACAAAGTTGACCTCACAGCGCTGATCTCAGTGGAAGATGACGACAACCCAGACAACGAAACTTATTCGACCAGATTCACCGTTCAGCTGCGGAGTGGAAGCCTCAAATTCATTGTGAGAGGGGAAAAAAACTAATTTTTTTATTCAGTCAGTCTTTTTAGTTTTATGTCTCGCAGCGTAAGACGATAATGTTTTGCTACAACTCAGCCAGTTTTACAGTTATAAAGCTAAAGTTTAGTGTAGTAGCTGGGCATCATCCCACAAACCCTAACCAGAGCGCTATTATGTAATAAATAGTTCTCAAGTGACATAATGACTTCTGGATCATGTCATTGAATGGTCATATTTGTGGTAGTATTATTTCTGCAGCAGTACCAGGGTTTCCTCCAGTGTACTATAGCCCTGGCAGCCCTACAGTCCTTACAAAATGTCAGCATAAAATTATCTTAGTTTAAAACTCGGGCAGAAAACTTTGTCAAAATGCATCCTTTTGAGACCTTTTTCAATTTTGTAATTTTTCTTTTGTCTGGTGGTCCTGCAGGCTTCAAGCACAGAAGCTCGAGAGCTTTGGAAAGGATTCATTCTTTCTGTGGGTCAGGTGTGTGCTCTGTTTCATTTACTTCACCTCACAGAATTCCTAAAAAAWGATTCTGTGGTTCTTAATCTGACACGTTTCAGAGGCAAAGTTTTAGATTTGTTGTTTATGAAAAGCCATTTCCACCCTACAGCTGTCAGTGCCCTCCTCCCTCAACCTGCTCCCAGGTCAGATCCACATGATGGGAGACGCAGTTCACAAGGAACAGGAGAGGCAGGCTGACATCAGTCCATCTGCTGCCACCGACTGCACTCCTCCTAACACCATCCAATCAGACATGCCTTCGTGAGTATCACTGTCAAAACACTTACCGTGGTACAAATGATGTATTTATAAGAATATCTACACAAGAACTTGCCTCATCACTCATTGATAATAACCAAGGTGGACATTTCTCCTGTTTTTTTGCTTCAGTTGTTTCTTCGAGGTGCCTCGACTCGAAGCCGAACTTCTGCTGGAGAGAGAAGCCAGCAAAGGAAACCTGTTGATGAGACCTGGAAGAAGCTTGAACTCTTACGCCATCACCATAAGAATGGAGTCTACCGGGTATAAATATATGCATTATAAAGAGTTAAAATGCATTTCTGTACATATCTTGTTTTTGAAGTATTTGTCTTCAGTCATCAGTCAGAMAATGAGTCTTGGTCCTCTTTCTGTTTCAGAGCTATATTCAAACATTACCGTGTGCTTTGTGATGAAAACGAGGGTTTCTATATTGCCCTGGCAGAACCTGTGAGTATGAAATAAATTTTGCATGTCCTTAACATAAATGTGACCTTCGCTGGCAAAATAAATCACAATGAGAATTTGTTTTTAATTATTGCCTTCAACTACTTTGAGTCAACTCTACATTGCTAAACCACTGGACAGATTTAATGATGCTATCAGGAAACAATTATTAGATGTACCCCTATAACTGAACAGTATTTTGTGGCAAATGTGATTCAAGATGGCTGCCACAGCCAAGTAATTTAAAAACAAAACACAAAAATGGCTGTAATTCAGTTAATTTTCTAGATATTGTGCTACAATTTGGTRTGGTGGGAGCTGAGAGTATGTGTTGTGGATGACGGRGTGTGACATTCTGTGAGATGTTTAATCTACTGCATGAGATTATTTTCAGCATTTGACCAAAACTATCATAAGTTCACTTTACAACATGAGATGACCTTCGCCTAATAATRAAAGTTAGCAATTAGCATTCCTTTGAAGAATTCTATCAGGATCCTACGTGTCYTTAATCCTTAAGTTTGAATTTGAAAAAGTTAATTCAAGGCCCTGAAATGTTTTTTTTAAAACGGCCAGAAAAACACCTTGAAAGTCCCTGAATGTTTTTCCTTTTGGGGTTGTAAATTTCACATTGACAACTGCTTGTCAACGTGTTCTTTTTTTTTTTTTTTTTTTTTTTTTGTTCAGCACGACGTTCTTGTGTTTTCTGTACATAGTGTTGTTTCATAGCACATAGCTATAATCACTGTGTGTTACAGCATGTGCATCGGTGCGTGCGATCTTCTTGCAGGTGAACTGCCAGTCATGTTGAGTCGGATTTCGCCTTCACTAGTCATCTCCGTTTATTGTAGATATGAATGTAAGAGRTGCATTCAATCCACTTTTTCACGGATTCTGACTCAAATTTTATACCATTCAGTTTTTTTTTTTTAATTTGTACTGCATTAAAATTATGTTAGCATATTGAGCAGTAGCAAATAGAAAAATGATGTGGCAAGTGGTCCTTGAATTTGAATAAATTGGCCCTGGAAAGTCCCTGAAAGATCTTTTGAATTTGGTGTTAACTAAGTTAACTAAGCTGTTTTTATTTTATGAAATTATTTGATCTGCTTGACCCGAAAACAAAAAATATAAATAGAAAGAGCCTCATAAGACCTAAAGGCATCCAGAGAACTTCACTTGCCGTCCTGAAACTTGGCGGCAATAAAATCTTGTAAAACCAGTTGCACAACATAGCTGGAGCTCTTTATAGTTTGTGACCAAGAAATGTTCTCCTGGAAAAAGAGAAGCTGGTTTAACTTGTAAGAAAAAGGACAGTTTAAATTACAATTTATGGCATTTTGAAGTTTGTGCATCTTGTGACAAAATGCAAATATATTTTCTCAATGTCACTTTTGTTGCTTAACTAATCAAATCAGTTTTATTTACATATATAGTRCATTTAAAGCAACAACTGTTGGCCAAAGTGCTGCACAAAGTACAAACCGTAAAAAGGCAAACACGACACCGCTAAAGTAAAATAAACAGTTTAAAAATATGACGGACAATAAAACCATTAAAATAMATTTCACATCTCATGCTGTATTAAGAGATGCCACTGGTGGGCACAGCTAACCAAAAAGTTAAACGTTCTAACCACTAATTCACTTAGCCAAAATCTTAGCTCCACAAATGCTAAATGGAAAGAGAAATTAGARGTAGCTAAGCTAAGACAGTTAGCGGGACTGATGTAAACCTGTTTTTAGTTACATTCTATTTGTTTAATTTGAAGGTGGGTGAGATTATCTGTGGAAAATCAGCCAATCCAAATCAGACTTATAACTCTTTAACTGGTAATACTTCCAATTGAACCCTTTCAGAATAAAATAAATTATTTGCTGGAGTTTGTATTTTTATAAACTTTGTTTGAAGTTGGAATATTTTAAATGAGGTCAGTTTTTGTATTCATTATTTAAAAGTTTTATTTCTTTTTGATGCTCTTACTTTGAAGTTTAACTGCTAAAGGTGGGTGTGGGTGTGGCTTTGGTGACATTTGGGGACAAAAGTCGAGTCCCTGTTTGGTTTAAAAGCCGTTGGAGGTTGGGTTTAGGACCAAGGTGTGAATTGAGTTTAGGTTAGTTTTAGGGTCAGGTAGGTACCTGTGAGGTTAGCCTTAGGGTTTGTGGTCAGGGTTAGGCTGTAGAAATGTAATGGAAGTCAATGGAATGTCCCCAAATGGATAGCTGTGCAAACTTTGTGTGTGTGTGCGCTAAAGATGCTGCGCACAGTGACTGACACGTCCAGCATTGCTTGTAGGAGAGGATAGTTTTTATCTATTTTGGGTTAAATGCCATAAAAATAGAAGTTTTCCAATTGCCAATTTTTGTATTTAATTGAAAGTAGCTCAACCTAATTTAGCAAAGCTAATAACGGTTTCAAAAATAGTAATCAAATTTGAAGCTAGTTCCACTATTAGTGGATTAGTGGTGTGCCCACCACTGTTTTTTGTGTGTGTGTGTGTGTGTGTTTGAAAATTACATTTTGTTCAGCTTGTATTAACACAAACAGTTGATACAAAACATCTAATACAACAATTTCCCCAGATGAATCTGAGTTTTGGATTAAAGAAGTAATTCTCTGTGCAGGTCTTTGGTAAAACGCTGCAGGATCTTGTCGACCACTTTGTGAAAATTAATAAAGATTCTTTTAAACCCCTGGTCATCGAGGCACATTACGATGACAAGATATGTAAGTACAACAACTGATTTATTTTAAGTTGAGGCATAAACTTTGTATATAACCTTGTTCACATGACTAATGGCCTTCTCGCTCCTTTTCTACCAGGTTTTATTTCATCTGATAAAGAAAGTGGAGAGAGGACTCTGCAACCTTTGTTAGCATCCCCAGCAGCTGCGCCTCACAAACATGGTAACTTTTCTGTTGATGCAGCCTCACACAGTCAACCACAACATTTTTATCACCTTTTCACAGATTAGAAAAATTCCTTCTCTGATGTCASAAGTTTTAAATCTTGTTCCTGGCAGCAGCATCATGGAGGATGAYTTTCAATTCATTTTGTTAGACAGTAACCATCAGGGGCGGAGCCTCTGGGGGGCTGGGAGGGCGGCACACCCCCGGCCCAGACCCATATGGGGCCCGGGTTGGGGGGTTGATCGTTTACCTGTATAATGAGCCTCAGAAATCCATAATTTTTGCAAAAAATAAAATAATCTGTATTAATCACACGCATGGGGATGGGGGGGATACAGGCGGACTGTCAGCCACGGTTTTCAGCACCTGTGCAGGGCAGAGCCCCGGGGCAGAGCAGGAAGAAATGAGGACGGAGAGAAGAACTTATTTATAGTGGCAGAGCGGGTTGGAAGATGGTTATTTTAGGTTATTTACTGTTTAAACGTCCTACAGGCTCTGAAATGTTAAGTTTGAAACCACATTTTTTTTAATCCATAAAACTTAAAAAAATTTTGGGAGATTGGTCTGTTAACTTCAGTGTGTACCTGCAAAATGAGGAAAAAATTACAGACAGTCGTACAGCTTGACATGCTGCACATGAGTGGGACACAGGGAGAGGAGACGTTCAGAATAATAGATTAAAGAGCATCACGGACGAGTTCACGGAGCGCAGGGCTCGTCGTATGCTCTTCAGTAGTGGTGATTAGCTACTTCTTTTTGAAAACGTGTTTGTGAACATGTGGGCCGCTGTGCCAGTTTTACTGAACTTTAGCTACTGATAGGGACAGGTTCTGAGTTGAAAAAGATAAAGCTGGTGTCAAAATGACCCGACCACTATCCGTGGTGCTGAACTGHTTTGAATTTGTGTTGTTTTATCAGTAGCTCAATGTTTTAATAGTTTTCTTGGTTTGTTATAATTCATGTCCGTTTGATGGACTTCACAATAACATAGTCGCTCTGTGGTGCTGAAGCTTGTAAGTCCTGCTGTTGCAGTATGTTGTATGAAATGATGTTATCATGAGCGTTATTTGCCTTGGCCTGGCTCTGATTTGTTCCACTAGTGATAACCATCAAACAGTAAATCCAGCAGGCACTAAAATAAGAGTTAAATTACAAATTGGCCACATTTCTGAATGCACTGTAGGTGATTTTTTTTTCTTGTACATCTACGTGTTTTGACTCAGTTTTCAGACCTTATCAGTGAAGTTTTTCCTGTTAGTGTGGTTACAAAAGGTGAAAGCTTCTGATAAGTATCTCTTAAGTTGTTTTTTTTCTAAGTATGTGTCTATTACGCACTTGCCTATCATTTGTGTTGTCAATGCAAAAAACAGATAGGGCTAATGGAATGGTCACCAGTTTTGCAAGTATTTGATCACAAAACTAGATTGTGCTCAATCTGATGTCTGAGGATATCCCTGAAGAAAATTATTTAAAGAATTACTAGTGACTGCATATAACTCAGGGTGGCAAATTTAAGTTGGAACAAATGACAAAGGAGTGAAAACATTTAGTGTGTGTGTGTGTGTGTACACTTGTTTTTGCTACAGACTGCGTGACTGTCGTATGATTTTTAACCAACAAAGTGAGGACATTTTCCCAGTGCTCACTTTTTTTTGCAGTTTTACTAGTTACGTTTAGAGGTCTGGTGTGAATTAGGTCTTGGTTAAGTTTAGGGAAAATATTGGTTAGGCATAAATGTAATTGTGCAACGTGTTGTGGTGGTGACATATTAAAATCCTTCATGGCAGACAGCGTCTCTAAGCAGACTAAACACATATAGTATGCTTGACTTTAAATTCATCCCTCCAAAAAATATATATTTTTAAACTCAAAGCAGTAGCTTTTAGAAATTGAGGTACTTTGAGTTTTTTGAGTGCTGGTTTTAAAAGGTAAAAATAAAATAAAATCTTATTTGTTTTTTTGGTGGGGTCCTATGCCTCGTTGCTGGGCTGGACGGAYGTCACCTGGCCTGCGGGACGCCAGTTGCTTGTCCCTAATATAGGTTATAAAAATATTTTCAAAGTCACTTTGGGTATTTTTTCCCCACGTCTCTCAAACTCGAGCAAATTTTACTGTATTTTATTTTTTCTTCTTTGACAGTTTTTTGTTTATCAACATTCAAGTTTGACTTTATGAGCACAACTATTCTTAATCAAAAACAATGTGGAATATGAAAACTGATCCAATGGTTACCTTAATAATTAATTTGGCGGTTTATAAAGGTAGTTTGGTCTTTATAAAAATAATTTTTAAAACGTGCTCGGTTGACAATGGCTGACTTCTGAGATATTCACTTTAAGTTCATTTTGTCCTCATCTTTTGAGCCCAAAAACAATTAAAAATACTTTTTGCATTTTTTTTTTAGTTGATGAAAAATTGACAACTACTGAAGCTGAAGCAGGTGGAGAACAAAAATCATCTCTGGCTGATATGGGTGAGCTAAACTCCAGCTGGTACCTTCCAATCTGTGAATGTTCAAAACTGATGTCTGCACCATTTCTATGATGGCTTTCGACTAACGTGTGTGTGTGTGTGTGTGTGTGTGTGTTCAGAGTACGATGAAAAGGAGAGCAGGGATTCTTCAGCTGTTGCATCATCATGTAGGTTCCTGATTATTCTTCCTTCAGTAGAGAACTGACCACATTCAGACGTCTCTGTTCAGTGTTCATCTTGTTTCATTGCAGCAGTGGCGCCCCCAAGGAGGATCCTGATGCCTCCATCTCCTTTTCCACGCAAAGGTAGCGTTGCCTCCCCGGCCAACAACCAGGGAGATTCCAGGAAATTAAGGAACACAGAGGAACAGAGGCGGCGTGAGTCCACATGTAGATCTCTTCAAAACAAATCCCAATAAATGTAATTTTCTTGCCGTACCTTAAACCCTTTCATCCTCTGGTTTGTTACAGTTCTTATGCCAGCGATATCTGAGCTAAAACTCAAGTTGGGACAGAAGCTAAAGCTTCAGGATTAATGCGGAGCGACAGAACCAGGCTGTGTTCCCATGCCTCACTGCACAACGAGCAGCTCCTCCTCCTGCTCAATAAGCTGTCTCAGAAGACTTACATTTTATTGATTCTCCTCTCTTGAACATCATTAACAAAGGAAATTGCTGTGAAAACAGGTGTAAATGTCTTATATCCTCTTGCTTGTTTTGCACATTTGCTGCTGAGCTTCCTCTCATCAGATCGTTTTAAAATGTTCTGAATAATTTACATATTTTCACTGCATCATGTGATATTTAAGACTGCAAAATGTATTACTTTTATGTACACTGTGAACACAAAGCTGGACTTTATTTAACCACATGTGCAATATACAGGTAATTACAGTAAATCTGTCGCATTGTAACAAGTTGAATGAAGCAACTTCTAGTATGTGCTATGAAGCTATTTGAAGATTGGTTTAGTATTTATTTACAGAATACATTTGTAAATACATTTTTTTTTATTAATTTTACACTTTCAAGCCTTTACAGTTCTGTTTTTGTATTTTATTTTGAAAAAAACTCCTAAGAAGTAAGTGTTTCACGTTTTTATTACTGATACATTATTGTGGAAAACTATTTACAATAAACTGATATTTTTATCTTGTGGAAATAACGGAGCTAGCTGCTTCTTAAAAGCATTGCAGGCTCCTGTTGAGACATGAGACGAATGCTGTTAAAGAAAACATGACATGGATACTACTATAGACGATATATTTTCCAGAGTCAATCCCTTTGAGCCCAAAACCTGATTATTTTTCATAAAACAGCTTATTAGCTGAATCTAAGAGCTCTCTAAAGGATGAACTGACTTCAGCCAAAACCTCACTCGTAGGAAGAGCCCTCTACAGATAAACAGGGGTTATGAGACACAGACAGGGTGCAGTCCGGTCATTTCCAAGATCCAAAATAGTTTAACAGATGARAGCAATAAGGGAACTGCCTCAATCTTTCTGTGCAGTCAATCAACTCCTCAGCAAAAAACACTGGATTCAATTTAAAAYTAACAAAGCTTCAGTAGGAAGCTGAAACAGAGGCGGAGCTAGACTTTTTTTTGCAAGGGATGGCCAAGGTGGGTTTTTTTTAAAGGATTGGGGCACATACAAATAAATAAAAGCACTCTGGATTTGTCATTMAATATGGCCACCACAGCTAATTCTAGATTTAATTCAGCTTTAAGAATTACTGAGTTAAAATTTCATGTGATCGTAGTTAACAATGATCCAAATTATTCAGCCATTTTTAGACCTACAAAGCTGAAGATTAGTGTAGAATTAGACGAAAACAATCTTTGATGAATTCTAAACGCAAATATAAAAGCCAAGATCACCACTCACGTCAATAATATGGGAGTGGCCAATCAAACACTGATTGCCACCCTGGCCACACCTCCGGCTCCACCCCTGGGCTGAAAGACTCAGTTRCTGAACATTAAGTCTGGGTCCAAACCCAAAATATAAAAATCAGTAAACACTGCGGAGTTTGTAGGCCAAATAATTTCTATTACTGTTAGTTTTTGTGTAARTGGTGTTAAATGGTCCACTTTAGTGTTCAGTTACATTGTCAAGGAGTTGGATGTCGTTAGGATGGATTTCACTGAGTCTAAATTTAATTCAAACTTWCATCAATAGTGGTTTTAAACTGGAAATAAGGGGCAGTTGTAGACAGTCAGATACGATCTGAAGGCACAGGGACAGAGCAGACAGGACAGATGACCCTGAACCTGCAGCTGGCTGCAGGACGAGTCAGTGACAAGTGAAGGCAAGGAAGCAGCGGCCAGCGCTAAATCATTCTAGCAGCAGAGGGACAGCGCTGAACGAATGTGTAGCAAAACAAAAACTATTCAGACTAAACAAAGCCCCAAACATCACAACAGCTAAAGTCTATTTTTTCCCAAAAAAAAGTAACTTTTGCTGTCATGCAACAAAAAGAACTATCATACTCTAGTGATGCAACTGACAGGTTCAACTGTGGTCAGTGAGGAGGCTGTGATGGTGACGGAGGCGGAGCTGGGAGGTGTCCAGCTGGATGGATGGTTTCTGCAGGTGGGTTTAAGTGAGGCTGGCGTTGGAGCTGCTGGTGCCACTGTTCTTCCTCTGGCCGCTTTGGACCACGCTGGGAACCTGCAGGCCCGTCACCACCGAGAAGCTTCCATTCCACACCTGCAGGACAAAACGCATCAACGAACCGTTTCCAAATCTAACGGAGGAGCGAAAACCTTCCTCACCATAAAAGCTGGGATGACAGGCTGTTGAAACTTTGTTCTGAAAGTATGCATGAGCTGCTTGGCTTTGGCCGTGTAAAAAGACACTACACCTAAAGAAAAGGAAAATAAGGCAAATTGATTATAAAAGACTTCAAATGTTTTAGACAAGCTAACAACCAAAAGTGCTATACAGAGCTGTGACTTAAAGCAGACATTTCATGCTTTTAAATCCTTATTTTTCACATTTAATCATTCAGTTGGGGTATATATAAAGTGGAATTGCAATGCTTTGGTCTGAATTCTTCCTCATTGTAACTCCACAAGCCCCTTTCATTCCTTTTCTGAGGTGCGACTCAGATCAACTCATTTTGAGGCTGTCTCTTTAAATCCAAACATGTCGCTTAAAACCCTTCCAGCTTCCTGAGCGGTCAGTTGTAGTTTGATAGAGGGGTTTACGGCTACATAGCAGCGTAGAAACCTTTTTTTTTATTTTTTTTTTACAAATTAATTAAAAGATGTCAACAAGGAAAGACCTATCTGTCCAACTTTACATGTTGGAGCCAGAGTCTGAACCAGACCCAGAGGAGGAGGAAGACCACCAAATTGCAGTTGTAAGTCCAGACCTTATTTAGAAGTTCTGTTGCAAAAACTGTGATGTAACAGAAAAGATCATAGAAAATTAAAAATATGACCCAAACAGAGTATAAATGCAACATCATGAGAGACTAAACTCAACCTCTCTGAGACTCTGTAACAAAATGTGTTTAACTGCTAAAAAAGTGGRTTTTGCTTGATATGTCCACTTTAAATCTTAAACCATTTGCTGTTGATTAACACATCTACTTCCATCTCACCTTCCTCATAGTTGACATAAACCCCTATGCTGTTTGGGATGGGACAGTCGAGGGTTCGAGCCTTGTTGTTGTGCTTGGCTGTGAGGCTCTGCTGCAGCCAGTTGTTCAGATGGATGCACCAGGAAGCGCTGCTTTTCCCCAGCTGGTCGAAGCGGCCAAGGCTCCGCAAGGCGATGCCTACAGCAAATGCCTTGCTCTCCTTGTCAAACTTTACCTCCCAGTAGTGCTGGCCAGCATCAATGAATGTGTCGGCTGTTGTGAGACATTAAGTTATGATTACAAACACTTTACTGCTGCGATATGGATCTGCAGAAATTATTTGTGTAGTTTGACATGTTTGGTTTTATAAAGTTTTATTTAAGAGTTTCATAAAACCATCAGATCAAATACTGTATATGAAAAAACAGACAGAGTCCCAAACACCTACAGTCATCATCTGTTTATTAGTTAAATACTCCTCTGAAACTGTAAGTCTGTTTACTTTACAGGGATCCATTTAGCTGCAAAGAATATTGAAAGGAATATTTGTCAGACCTTCCCAATCCCACAAGCAATGGAGGAAGCAGAGTCTGAGAATTTCAGGGTTGGTCTGTCCATAACTGGTGCTGCGGTCACTGAGGTAGTTAAAAAGCTCCACAGCGGCAGGGCTACCGGGGTGGACGAGATCCGCAGGGGTATCACTCTCCTTAGCCTCACCTGTAAGGTCTGTTCGTGAGTGCTGGAGAAGAGGGTCCTATTGATGGTTGAACCTCGGGTTCTAGAGGAAAAATGCGAGTTCCATCCTGGCCGTGCAACACTGGACCAGCTCTTTACCTCTAACCATGTTCCTCGAGGTACTATGTGGGGGGTGCGATGTGAGTATGGGGTTGTGGATCAGCTGTTACAAGCACTTCAACCCTTATAAAGGTAGTGTGAGAGTTTGGTTCACATTGCCATTAGCAAGTCGGACTCCTTCAGGGTGGGAGCTGGACTCTATCAGGCCTGCCCATTGTCTAATTCTGTTCATTACATTCATGTCARAATTTCTCGGTGCAGCCAGTGTGTGGAGGGAGTCCGGTCCGGTGGCCTCAGGATCCCATTCCTGCTATTTGCAGATGATGTGGTCCTGTTGGCGTCATTGTGCCGTGATCTTCAGCTAACCTAATGAAGATGATAGACGACTGCAGTAAAACTGACCATCTTTGGGCGGCTGTGACGGAGTGGTTAGGGGAGTCGTCCAGTAACCGGAGGGTTGCCAGTTCGATCCCCCGTTTCAGCGCTAGCCCCTTTTCCATGGTGTAGTGTCGGAACGGTTGGTGTAGGTACGGGTCAGTACGGGTAGGACTGGTTGGTTTTCCACTGATGTTCCAGTCCGGTTCCAATGGGTGTGTTTTGGGCGGTTGGTGGAGGTGGTTTTTAGGTATTTTGAATAAAGATTAATGGGCAAAATGAGAGATGGAAACATATTTGATGAATAACATTTGAAATTTTACAAATTTGCAAAAATTAAGCTAATCAGTGACGAACAGTGTTCTGACGTCGCATTTTGGTGTCAGCTGGGGCTGCTTGGAACCACAATGAAGTAGGTACTTAAAAAAGGGCCAGTTCCATGAATCTGGCCTAATGGAAATGGCTTGGAACCGTACCGAACCATACCGACACTACACTAAGTGGCACTGGTGGAAAAGTGACATTATAAGACGCTGTGTCCTTGGGCAAGACACTTCACCCACCTTGCCTACTGATGGTGGTCAGAGGGTCCGGTGGTGCCGGTGCTTGACAGCCCCACCTCTGTCAGTGTGCCCCAGGGCAGCTGTGGCTACAGTGTAGCTTACCATCATCAGTGTGTTGATGAGTGAATGTCTGTAGTGTAAAGCACTTTGGGGTCCCCATATGGCTTGATAAAGTGCTCTWTAAGTTCGGTCCATTTACCATCTTAACCTGCATTTTTTTATAAAATGCTAACTAAACCTGAAACATCGAAGTGTGTGTGTTTGTGCGTGTGTGTTTGTGTGTGTGGGGTCATGGTAGGTCAAGGTGCATGCTTTCCTCCTACACCTTTGAGCCTGCAAGGGACAGTCACAGAGCAGTTCATTCTGACCACGCTGTCTGTAGTTAGTTGAGTGTGTGTGTTCTTACCCAGCACTGTGTAGGACTCAGCTGTAAACCTGTCTCTGCCGGGCCGAGCTGTTGGAGCTCTCTTTGGAGACATCAGGGCAGACCTGGTTTCATTTAAAGATGGTCAGTTAAGATCTTTGAAGACTCTCTAACACTGAAAGCTACAAGTCCAAAAACAAATGCCTGCAGCTGTTTTATCTCGTACACAAACCTGGCTGGGGAGTGCATAGGGGAGTTGGTTCGGTTCTTCTCTTTGCGGATGTCCTGCACCTTTCCTCCACTGCTGTCCCATTCTACACTCAGGTCCTCCACTTTCAGGTTCTGGTGGGACGAACTAGAGTCCAGTTTGAAACTGAAAGCTGGAAATGGGGGTGGGGGCACAGACAACTTAAGAGCACTGAAAGCTGACATGATCCAAATAAACACTTAGATGAGCAAGACACCATACATTCCACACATTGTTAGTTTCAGCCATAACAAAAGCCTGTATTCAGTTTTCTAAATACACGTTTGTTTTCTCACCATGAGTTTCGAGTGTGACTGGTTCAGAAAACTCCCCAGCCACAGCCTTGTTGCACGCTCTCACTCGAAATGTCATGTATCGCGTGTCGAAGCGCAGCCCTGACGAGAACAATCTGTGAGTCTCTTTGGTCAGTTTAACCACAAGCCTCTGGCCACGCTTCTCCTTCTCACCTGTGAGCGTGCACTCCATCTCTCGAATCCCCTCCACTACCATCCAGGGGTATTCCTCTCTGATGCGCGGCGGACCCTCGTGATTTGTGCGCCGGTGCTCCAGGATGTAGTGGTCTATCTTGGAATCGGGCTCTGGCAGGGTCCAGACTACAGTCACTGTGTTGTCGCACACCTGACACTCTGATACCTGGATCTCTGGAGTGGCGGGAACTGGAAAAAAAATGTTTAAAAGAACAGTTTTTTTTTTTTTTTCGATTTTAAACTTTTTTCCCCCCAGAAATGGCTATTTAAATGTTTAAAAAAAATACATACCATCTTAGCCCAAAAAGCAAGAAAATTTGTGATTGGCTGATTATTTCTTTGTTGTAAAAATGCTTCTTTGAACACATGAGCAGCGCTAATCCAAAGATTAGCTCCGCAATTTCTAAAAGAACTTATGAAAATTTTTAGGTCCGCAACTTTAAAAGCGCTTCTGTCATAAAAAAATTAGTGGAAGCTAATTTTAAAGCACAAGCTCAATTTGACACTTACTAGCTGGCAATGATTCATGTACAATATTCGCACAACACTGCCTACTAGCGGTGTGTGAACCCTTGTACAGCTTAATCCTACAACCACCGATTGTTGGGGATGTGATTTCCTGAAACAGACCTTTGGCTCCTGGTGTAAAATTAAAAAGTTGTTGAGGATTGCTAGTTCGGCTGCTTCTTTGTCTTTTTCTTTTGTTTGTTGTAGATTTTTCATTAAAGAAGCATCAATAAAGTAATTTTAAAACTGTTTATTGGAAAACCGAAGCGATGCATTCTGGATACATGACGGATTTGATTTGTGACGGGAAATGAAAGCACAAAGTACAGGAAATTATCTTCACTTCAAAATAAGGGCATGGATTTTAAAGTTTTCCACACTTTTGTTGTTGCTCCAGTTGACCACTAGATGTCTGTCTTCATCAGCATAACATCTTTAAATCATTTCTGCGTCCCTTCAGCTAACCCCGTTGGCCGATTGCTTCGACCAATTACGTTAAGTATTGAGCTCCAGCGTTTAAACTTTTTTTTTWAAAAAGGAGCTCCAATTGTAAAGTAAAAATATATCAATACATAAAAATTTTTAGTATGGATTACAAACTAACTGTTTTCGCCTGGTCACATAGTTCTAACCATTGCCTTCCTGCTACATAAGCAGACACAAAGCATTGTGGGAAATGAGAACCGTGGCCGAACGCAACTGTCAGCAAGGATGTATACCTTCTCAATAAGTGTGTTTATCTGGGAGGGGTGCTGTTGGACAGATCAAGTGTTTTTGTGATTCATTGACAGCCATACCTTCTGCTGTTCAAGATAATAATGACAGGTAGATAATTAGTTATTAGAGGTACTGCATTTTCATTTTAGAAAGCGCAAATCCGCTTATGAATTATAAAAATTAGTAAGACCGTTAAAGCGCAAACAAAATATTTAGGTCCGCAATTAGCGGACTTGCGCTTTAGCGGGCTGGTGCCCACCACTGCTTCTTTGTAATAAATCTTCTACTGTTGGAAAGCCTGTTCATTTCTCTTTCAAATGGTGCCACATTTGTAAGGAACATGCATTTGGGGGATGAGCAGTAGAACGAAGTATATGGGTTGCACACATGAAAAACTTGCCAAAAAAACAAGGGGCAGATAAAAGGTTAGCAAGAGCCATATTTGGCCCACAGGCCTCGAGTTTGACACGTGTGACTAGAGGTAATTTATAAACTTAAATAGGTCTAGCTGAACAATATGAATCTTATATTTTAAAAAGTGCAACAAAAAAATTTATTTATCTTATTTATTTTTATTTATTTATTGTTTTTGCGTTTAAACATTTTACCATAAACTCCTACCAGATCACATCCTCTCCTCTCAGTCAGGTCTCTCTTTATAACTCACTACTTGAACCTATAACAATGTTGACATGATCACACCTTGCTGCACGTCATGTCTGATTAGCTGTGCCAAACTATAACACTCTCACAACATTAATCTGCATGTAGTTTTTGTTTACAAGATTCAGGCTGAAAAATATTTAGGAATTTTGCTTTAACAACTTTAAAAATCTTTTTTTTAAACTGTGGCATTCAAGGTGAAATGCCAAAGCAGGTATAAACAGAAAAGAAAAAGCAGATAAAAAGACTAACTATGCAAAAAAAAAAACAGTTTTATTTTAAATAAGCATAGTGCTCAAGTACAAAGTAAAAGGAGTTCAGAAATGTTGATCATCACAGCTTGAGTAAACGACAGAGCAACATTTACAAAGGCATATATCTACAAGTCCAACAGTACAGGACAGCAGTGGTGTGACGCAGCCTTTTTATTTCTACTTTCTTTGAAATAAAAACACAGACCTGGGAGAAACTTGAGAGCCTTCAGCATCTCCCTCTCCTGACTGAAATCCACCATCAGGTGACTCATGTTGTCGCTGGCTTTTGCCTTCAGGGAGAGGCGAAAGGCCGGCGCCATTGTCACGCTGCAGACAAAAAGACACACACACACAAACACAAAAACATGGGGTGGAAACATGTAGGGTCTATTTTTAATAAATACTCATCAGCACTTAGAAAGTGAAGCTTAGGAGCATTCATCCAGGGAGGGACTGACACAAGATGGCACAGACTCGAGGAGCCAGAGGGAAAACACAAAGACAGAAGTCGCACTAGAGGAGGGTTTTCCACAGTGTTTATTGTCTAAGCTGTGGGTATGGTGGCTTCACAACTGAATGCATGCAACGCTACATGATGAGATGACTCTAGGCTACAGGAGGCTGTGACAAAAAGGGAAGCAATGGATAGCTGAGTACTATACCTATCCTTAATGTCTTTGGCCGCCTGGAGAGGAGAAGCATAGAGGGGAAGAAAGGAAAAAAAACAGATACAGAACGAAGACAAAACTGAGTCCATCAGGTCATCATGACGTAACACAAAACATTGCTGCTTGTTAAAGTTGTGACAACAGAAACATGCCAGTCTAACTTGTATATTTAAACACTGATATTCAGTAAAAACATTGCCAGGAAGCAGGAGAAACAGCGCGGCACGGCAGGTGTGTTAGTCACCTGAGTGAAACTGTCCGTTCCAGAGGAGCAGAGCGTCTGATTGGCCAGCTCCAGCAGCTCCTCTGAACTCTCCAGGGCTTTGGAGCAGGCGCTCAGCTGACTCTGAGGTGAACACAAACTCATCGTCAAACAGAGCCGATCTGAGGTGCTGTCATCAGGATAATGAAAGTATTGTGTTTCCTGTAGAGGTTATGAAGCTGCTGCATCATCGGAGAGTCATGTTTCAGTCTGGAGGCTGCAGAAACTTCAAACTAACAAATACAAATAAGCTAACCTAAGAATTAGATTACAGTAGCAGCAGTGAGGGTAAGATCTGCTTCAACTAGACAGTGAATATAAAGTTTTATGTCTTATGAGTAAGTGGTTCCAATAAAAAAACAGTTTATATATATATTTTTTGGTATAGGCACTCTGATTCTCACCTTTAACTGTAAATCATTCAAATAAAATGATCGACTTTTCTTGTTTCAAAAACCAGATTCCACAGTCACATAGTGCAACTAAGACCAAAATTATGAGCGTCACCCGACACTCATCCAAACTCAGTGCTTTTCTTTTAAACGCCTGAAGTGAACGCATCTGCTGACATTAACTCTCTGTCTTATAAGACAGCTTTACTATTGAGATTTGTTTTTCTTCTCTATGTTTTCACATCTAACTGGTTCCACAATTTTTGTTTTATGTCAATAATTCATACATGAAAACACTCAGCTCATTTATGAGATGGCCTGTGGGTACTTTTGGTATTTCAGCAACTTTTTCAGACATTTTGGACCCAAATAAAATGGGGGTTTTATTTCTTTCCTTTTGTTGTTAGTTTATTTATTTATTTTTATTTTTACTGTATAAAGATTGGTTTGGTTTGATGAATAAATGAAATAAACTGAATTGAATATTTAGCTTTTTCTGCCAATTTTTTCTCATTGAAAATGAAAAGTTTTCTTCAACATCCATAAAACCCTTTAAAATGTTCATAAATCTTTACTTTTTTTAGCTTTTGTTCTGGTTCTGCTTTTTTCCCCTTCTTTGCTCTAATTTCATCTTTCTTCAACTTATTTTTTTAAGCGTAGCTTTTTCAGCTATCGTTCTGCTCCTTTCAGCTATTCTTCTGTTAATTTAAACTTTTTTAGGTCTCTATCAGCTTCTTTCTGCTAATGTAAGCTTTTTATGCATCTTACAGCTGATTTCTGCTATTTTCTGCCTATTTAGTTACTTTGTAGCCATTTTCAGCTAATTTTAGTTTTTAAATCTAAATTCACCTTGTGATAATTTCGGCTTTTTACTGCAAACAAACTCATTCTGCATCTCTGCCCTAATTTCAACTTTTTGTTTTTAGTTAAATAACTGCTCATTTTAGCTTGTGAGCTTTTTTACTCTCTGTTCACTGTCTGCTAGATTCAACTTGTCTCTGCTACTGCCTGCTTTTATCAGCTGTTCAACTGACATGAACAGTTTGGCTATTAAACATTGTCAGCTTCTTCAGCAGCTTTCAGGAAAACTCTTTCAGCATTAAGCATTCACACTGTTTTTTCACAGGAAATGAAACTTCTCTCGTTTTATGATTTAGCTGTTTTTGTACAAACAAATGTGCACAATTTTAAAGAACATATAAAATGGTCAGATCATCTAGCTGAATTTTAACAGGACTGTGTATAAATTATGAAAAGGTATTACTTGGAATTACTTTTGTAATTTTGAAGATATACCATATTTGGTCAATTTGTTTAGTCTGTGTGTTTTATAAAATTGTTTCTCTTGTATAAAACACTCTTCTGAAATAATATTTTACTAAAAAAAAAACAAAGCATCAGGTACCTGCAGCTCGTATGTGCGGCTGGCTCTCTCCTGTTTGATGCGAGTCACCATGTTTTCCTTCATCTCATCCAGAGCAGCATGGAGGAAGTTGAATTCTGACTCCAGATCCTCCTGCACTCGGTTCGAGTTTGCCTGGTGTCAAAACAAAAACTATGTCAACTTTAGTTCACAAATGACACCTGGACCAGTCATTCTGTGTTTGTCTGTGACTCTTTCTTGTCCTGTCAAACACTCCTGAGTCTGGTTCTGCCAGTGGCGCCTAAAGAATTCTTTTTTATTTATTTTTTTAATGGGGGAGCCAYTGAAAATCCAGGGTAAGGTCTAGAACAGCATTTCCCAAAGTTGGGGTCAGGACCCAAAGTGGGGTCCCGAAACATCAAGGTGGGGTCCTGAAAAGATTTTCTGAATTGATTACATGTTTGCCTTATTTGTTACAAATGAGTGAGGTTAGTATATTTAAAATGGATAAATGTAGTATAAAAATATTGTTACTATGCCCATGTTTAGTTGACCTGATACAAATGTTTATCATCCAAAAATAACTGGGGCTCAGGTCTCTGCTACTGTTATTTTGTGGGTCAAAAGCTGAAAAGTTTGGGAACCACTGCACTTTGGTTCCCAAAGTTGGGCTTGGGACCCAATTATGGGTCATGAAGCACCTTGGATAATCTCCAGAAATCAATTTAAAGGGTAATAAAATAATTTCTGATGTAATATTTTCCCTATAATTATTATAACAACACAAAATAAGTGAAATTAAGTATTTTTATTTGTGTATAAGCTGTTTAGATTGTCAAAAAGACTGTGTTTTTAGGGTTATTAACGAAGTTTATGTACTCAGATTAGTAATATTTGGGGTCACAAGTTTTTGCCATGGATATTTTGTGGGTCAGAAGATAAAAAGTTTGGGAACCACTGGTCTAGAACACAGAAACTAAAACCCATAAAAAAAATTTCAGAAATTCAATCAAGCTGTTGTTTTAAAACATCAATCTGAAAACTATATCAACATGAGAGATGAGGGTTTAACCAACAGATGTACAGTTCAGTTTGTTCTTTTACAGATATTACAGAAATGTCAGGTTAATAGACCAGAAACAAATTCCTTTATTTGCTTTTTCATAACATTAACTGTAATAAAGATTTATTTACCTGTTCCCATCTATTTAGGCAAATACATCCACAAAATCATTAAGATTTATAACTTTAGCGTCTGTATACATTTTGGACATTTGTTTTAAAAACAGATATTTACAAAAAAAACCTGATGATCATTTTTTACTCCAAAACTATCTTTTTATTTTTGTCAAACCTAAAGTTTAACACAGTTATGGCAACTCAACACTGTCSTGTTGAACCTGCTGCAGCTTCCAGTTCCTCACTATGGACCTCTTGGAGAAAGACTTCATGTGCTGAAAGCAGCAGAAGTGATTTACAAACTATCAGAAACCTGTTAAAGAAATGTCAAACTAGTTAGCCAGTGTTTATTTATTGTGGCTGCCTGGTTAGCTAGTTATAAAGTAGGTTTATTCAACCTGTTATCACACCATTTAAGGTGGAGCTAGATAATGTTTTTAAAGAAATTAGCCAGACTAGTTATATTAATAAGAAATACAGTCTGAAGTTAGATTGCAAACGTAGTTAGCTAGTGTTTATTCATTTACAGGCAGCTGCATGTTATTAAAAAGTTATTTAAGTAGTTCCACCTTAAATGCTCTGATAACCACCGCATTAAGCTTTTGGTTTGAGAAATAAAACAATCGTTTCCCCATTTTTAAAGTATAAAATGAAAAAAGAATAACTGTTTTTCTTTTTTAATATCTGTTTTTAAAACGAAAATCTAGTGACCAAAAGGTACAAAGACTGTAACCCTTCTTGACTCCACACTTAACACACGCAGTGACTCAGTGAATTGCAGGTTATCTACCACAGTAATTTATAGTGCAAAATAATAAGGTTACTCAGTACTTTATAGCTGCTCTCAGTCACATTACATTTTAAAATATAAGTCACTTAAACTTATACATGTTTTTGTTTAAAACTAAACAATGCAAACAACACGAGCATATGAGATGTATACTGTGTACCAGAGAACCTGGTTGAATAGTTTGAGCCCTTTTCAGGTGGAGCCCCCTCCTCAAATGTGGGGTCTATCGTAAAACCGTTGGCTGGTACAGCGTAGGTGGGACACATCTACATTCCTACCAGATTTCACGTTAATCGGTGCAGTGGTTTCTGTGCTACAGTTGACGAAAAATCTCAGAAAAAAATGTAAAAGTAAAAAAATAAATAAACAGTACGAAAACAAAAGGACCCCTGCTCCGCACGCGGGGGTCCTGTTGAACATGGCCAACAGAAGCGATGGAGATCGTTCGTTTGTGGACTATTTTTAACAGAGAAAAAACAAAAAGACGTCTTTGATGTCCACCGGACTTTCTGCTGCTCGGTGGCAGTAGGACTGGGTAATAATGGCAAAATAATTAATCACCATTAATTGTGATATTTAGCTGATAACGATTAATTTGATGATTAATCCCCTGGAGTCCCTGGACACCCTTATGTCCTAGTCACATGACTAATTTAGTGGGAAAGATTTGCTCTTCATAAAAATCTGTTCCAAATTGTGTCAAAATCACAGACTTCAGGCTATACATCACATTTTAAACTGTGTTGATAGATAAATAAGTAACAGAACCTTTTTAATGTTCATCATATTTGAAGCAGAGAGGAGCACAGAGTGGTTTCTGCCTGGTGGCATTAATCATATTAATCATCAAGTGCAAAAAAATCGATTAATGTTTTTCTGATGATTAATTGCACATGATACGATTATGCCCAACCCTACGTGGAGTTGTTTTRTCTCCTGTATTTCGGATTCCCCTCCAAGTTTCTTTCACCTCGTTTTCTGATTGGCTACACGATGATCAAATCGACCTTAAGATTGTCAGAAGTGAACTATCGGGCAAAAAATCGGCACAATTTTCTCGCTGTGTGAACCAGGCGTAACTGGAGAAAACCCACTCACACACGGGGAGAATACCACCCAGAAAGGTGCCAGGCTGGGAGTTGATCCAGCAACCTTCTTACTGAGAAACAAAATTTCTCCCAAAAGAGCCACAATACAATTTTATATTTATTAAATAATTATGTATAATTAAATATAATAAATATATTTATGCATGAAACCTCCTGAGAACTAGGGCTGCAACTACTGATTATTTGAATAATTGATTAATCTGTTGATTATTTTTTCGATTAATCGGCCAAATCATAAAAACGCTTAATTAAATGAATATGAGTAGTAGGGCTGCCACAAACTATTATTTTTATAATCGATTTATCACCGATCATTTTTTCGATTAATCGACTAATCAGATCATACGTTAACTGAATATAAAACATAGAGCTTATCGCGCCAGAATGCAGCTGCTATTATATAACCATGGTTAGATTTTAGCTATATGCTAACTAAAAATAATTGCTGTGGAAGGCAAGTTCTGCTCTGCAGATATTGCACAGGTTTCTCTTTATTTTCTTAAAATGATCTCACACTTTTGAGCTCCGTTGCYRGGTAGCCATGATACCAGAGCCTGTCTGTATAATGTCTTGTGACGTCCACGGCCTACCCCAGTTACCACTACTGTGCATGTGTGTCAAGGACAGAAAGGCAGATGTGGCAGTGGAAGGTGTCAAAGCAGTTTGGAGAGAAAAACAGAGTAAAGAACAAAAAAAAGAGAGAAAACAATTAATCGATTATTAAACTAGTCATCGATTATTTTAATAATCGATTAGTCATCGATTAATCGTTGCAGCCCTACTGAGAACCTCCATCTTATTGTTGAGGACATTGGTTTAAATCCTAAAGAAAAATTAGCTCAAAGCAAACGCTTGGGGCTTGAGAGGAAAAGAGTAGGGGTGAGCCAGTTGCATGGAATGGCATGGCATGGCACAGCTATAAAGTGTGCAACTTTCAGATTAAACCTCCGTACCTCCAGGTTCTCCAGGCTCTGTTTGAGAGTGCAGGCGAAGTTGGAAATCTCCTCGTTCTTCACGGCCAGCGTGTGAGTGATCTTACGCAGGGACTCCTGCAGTAAAGACAAACATGTAATGCAAACATGAAACAGTGTGCAGAGCATAATGTGCTCCTCTAACCAATCAGCTCACTCCTCTGAGGTCATAGTTAACCTAATCAGTGCAAAGCTGGAGTGGACACACACAAGGCTTTAGCTTTGAGTGCTCTTTACAACATGGCTGTAACATTTATGCCTCAGATGTCTGAGAGGGGGGACAATTTAGGGGCAGGATGTGAATCTAATAATGCACCTAAGCAAATATTTACACAGCAGACTTCAAAGCAAAGGACTGGACTTATTGTTAAACTGATCAGTCCTCTGATTGGTTTCCACTCCTGCCCTCCTCTGCTGACCACTCAGTGAAAGAAACAGCCCATTCATTAACACGGACCGTGTAATGTTTGGTAGAAGAGCTGCGCCCTGCCCCTCCCGTCCCGTCGGTGAGTGATACAGCAATAAATCGTCGACGAGCCTCGCCTCCAACAGGACAACTATCAGTTTAAACAAATAAAACCACTAAACAGCCAGCTCATGCCGCAGACTCCTTGTCCCTCCTTTGTATACTACGCCCTGCCTGATATCCACCCCATCAGACACCTGTTCCTCCGGTCCCAGCTCACCTTCTGGTCGCCCATCCCGTTCAGATGTGCCGGCGTCTCTACAGCCGCAATCACCGCCGGTGTCTCTCCGTCGTCCCCCCTGGTTTGTGGTAAATTAGCACCGCGGAGCTGGTACTGATGCTACCGGAGTGTAGCGCATCTTCAGACGGACACCAACGCCTTTGGGCCGTAGAGTCTAACGCGCATGCGTGGGAAAAAAGGGATTATGGGAAATGATGTTTCTACAGCATTCATCCTCCTCAAGTGCTGGAGAGTTATGTATGGCAGGCCGTTTTAACATAAAATTGACTTCGTCACATTTACGTTCCAAATATCAACATTTTTTAAATGAATTATTGTATTTGGTCACGTAAAAAAAAAAAAAATTAAACCCTTTAAATTTTTGCAAAATTTTATTGCAAAACGGAAGAGGCAGAATTTTGTAGAGCTTTGCTTACTGTGCCATTGAATTCCCCAAACAACAAAATGCACAAATAAACAATAAATAAATAAATAATAAATTTAAAAAAGAGGAAGAAAACAGCAACAAACAGAACATCAACACTCAGTATTCAACAACAATGTCCTCCTTATTTACAGTTAAACAAATCAATATTACATTCTAACCAACAAATAGTATTACATTCACCAAATTTGCATATTTTACCACCACCACCATCATCATCACAGCTAATATTACAAAAATCTACAACTCATCATAAACTTACTTTTTAACTTCTTTCTAAAACCTAAAACAATGCCACTAAATTGAAATTTCTCACTGAAATTATTTTACAATTTAACACTCAAAACTTAAAAACACATCTGTATTTGACCTTTGTTCTTACTTATTTTTACCTACTTAAAAAATCCTCTTAAATCTTTAAATTATTTTCTCTTTAAAGGGGCATGCAGCAAAATTCATTTTTAGCCATTAAATGTTGTTGTGTACTTGGAGTATCTAGGAGTGCAGAAATTTTGAATTTAGTCTATCCTGGTGTTGTGTATGTATTCAATTCAAAAATACTTTATTGATCCCAGAGGTAAATTAGGTATATGTGCATAACCACAAGGCAGTAAAACACAAAGAAGCACACACAGAGATCAGCTCAGTATGTGGTTTGTTTGTTCACTGATTTAACATTCAAACACAAACACACACATACCATGTTTCTCTATCCTTGTGGGGACTTTCCATTGACATCCATTCATTTTTTTTGTAATTTTATATCCTAATCATGACCATTTACCCTATAATTAACCTCACAGCTGACCCTACAACTAAGCTAAACTCAATTCACAACTTGGTCC